GGTCAGGTGACCACCACACGAGAAGTGCCTACCATCTTAGCTTCTGCTCCAGCGCGTGTAGCGTAAGACAACCAATGCCCATAAGCCACAGGTAAGGAGATCTATTCACAGAAGGAGATACCCAAAATTTAATCAATGAAAGGAGAGGGCGCTAAGTGAAGCCTTGATGTAGCCTATAGACCATGCACAGAAAGCAAGCATGAGAAAAAGGACTTTGTTCGAAGTTTTTAACCGAGTAACTTTGCCTTGGCTGGACACAGTTTCTAATGGTTTCACAGAAAATAGAGAGGCGATCTCCATAAAAGTTACTGGAACGTTATTTTTAAAGGGGTGATTGGATGCATTTGTGTCGAAAAAATATGATGACTCAAAAGTAAACGCCTTACTTGAAAATGACTCCCACACATATTGACTGACTCTGCACCTCACAGTCACTCATTCAAATGCAGAAGTGAGGAACTGAGGGCCAGTGTCTGTCCCGGAGCCCAAAGATTGTTCCTTTTCTGGTGAAGGAGAATCTAATTCATAATTCAGAAGAGTTGGTAATTACAGCAGGATGTCCCGTGCAGAAGATGGGGTTCTTAAATAATTCAGGGCGTTGGCAAAGATCCTAGAAAGGGAGGGGTACCGGGATAGAGAGTTTGCGATTGGCAGTCTGTGATGTGATTCACGAGGCAGGTAGAAAATGAAGTGTTTGGGGTGGAAACGATTAGGATATTGGTGTTTCTGATTATTTTTGCCCGTGCTACTGCTCTATTATAATGTTGTTATTGTTGTCGTTAATATAAGTTGTGGAAATGGAATAAAAAATTATAGTTTCGAGCCACAGATGTAAGCAATATGTATACTATACGCGCCTAATAACTATGTATACACACGTTTTGTAAGTAACAAAACAGAAACATATACAAACAACAGAAATAGCAACATAAGAACACAAATGGAAAGTGTGAGGAGCGTTTTTGTATTCTTTTTTCTTTACTGTTTTGTGTCTTTTTGTGTTGCTTATATTTATATTTTGTTAATTTTCAAAAATTAAGGAGGGAGGGGGTAGTTGGAATTCACCAAGAATGGACAGACAATACACAGTCAAAACTGTCTTTTACAGCTCCCAATATTGAGAAAAGTGCTTGTCTTAGGGAGCAAATAGGAAGTGGTGGGAGATTTTCTTATACAGGTGGCCGTTTGTACAGGCATTGTCTTATACAGGTGGCCGTTTGTACAGGCATTGTCTTATACAGGTGGCCGTTTGTACAGGCATTGTCTTATACAAGTGGCCGTCAGAGCGGGTTCAACTGTCCTCTAAACGGGAGGTCGTGAAGTTTAGGTTCACAAAGTACATGATTGGCTTGGCAAACGACGTGTTATGTGTGTGTGAAACCTGCTACACCCATACTGGGTCAAATATAGACTTAAAAGTAGAAAAATCCCTATGAAAGTTTTGCAAGAGTGGTAGTTATATTTATGTTCTAATAATGTGCTAAAACATCGACCTGTCCAGTCAAATAATATTGTAGTCACCTTTTGAGCTACAAACCTCGATAAAGCTTCAGAATCAGCAAAGTTTAAAAAATCACATTGAGGAATGTTGATTTTATGTACTCCCTCCACTCTGCCCCTCCTCCTCTCTTTCTCTCTCCCCCTACCTATCTCTCACTCTCTCTCTCTCTCTCTCTCTCTCTTTCTCTCTCTCTCTCTCTTTCTGTCTATCTGTCTTGCTGTTTATCTCTCTATCCCTCTGTCTTTCGCTTTGTATCTCTCTGTCTGCCTCTCCCTCTTTGTGTCTGTCTCTGTCCCTGTGTCTCTCTCTCTCTGTGTCTCTGTCGCATCTCTGTCTCTTTTTGTCTCTCTGTCTCTCTCTCTCCCTCTTTGCCTGTCTGTCTGTCTGTCTGTCTGTCTGTCTGTCTGTCTGTCTGTCTGTCTGTCTGTCTGTCTGTCTCTCTCTCTCTCTCTCTCTCTCTCTCTCTCTCCCTCTCCCTCTCCCTCTCCCTCTCACCTTTCTACACTTCCTATACCTCTACCCTCCATCTAACATCCTCGATCGTCGCAGACTCTCATGTGGCGAGGTACGGAATAAGACGGGGCAACAAATCGATAGTTTCATCACCCCTCGCGGACGCCTCTTCACCCTTCACCATCTCAGAAGGTCAGATATATAGAGGTCTAATGGCGACCTAAGGTACAAGTAGAGAAAAAGAAAGAAATGGGAAGGATGAAGAACAGAAACCATTTAAAAAATAAAACTGATCGTTCTAAAAGATCAATAAATGTCAAGCGTCGAGATGTGTAAGCAACAACAACAGAGCTTTTCTTTAAAAATAGAATTCTAAAAATAGTTAGTTTCCCAATATAAACACGGACCTGGCCCCGGATCTGGTCCCAAACCTCCATAAACATAACATGTTCGCTGCGTCTGTGGCAAATTTCATGAGGCCAGGCGAGGGGTGGGATACTGTACATATTCATAAATTAGTTGGGTTTTTTTCTTTTTTTTTTTTAACAAAGAGTTGTGAGTTTTCTTTAAAAAAATTTAATTTTGTTTTAAATTTGTATTTGACATTATCGTTCCTAAGGTATGTGACTGGCTTGGAGAACGATGAAATTTCTGTGTTGTAAAATTTTGATCTGGTCCATCGATTCTAGGTCAGGTAGAGCGTTAAAAGCAGAAACATTACAAGGGACGCTTTTTATTCTGAGAATGGCAGCCAATGTTTCTGTTCGAAGATTGTGCCCTAACCTGGACCTGTCCAGTCAAATAATATTGTGACATTTGACTCGACAAAGAGAGTGCACATTGTTAAATATGAAATGAACTGTGGAAAGTAAAAGATACGTTTTCCTAATTAATTGTCACAGAATTTGTACATTGCAGGGGCCGCTGACTTACGACAGCACAATGTTCCCGGGTGCTGCAAGAGTTGGCAATATACCTTATACAATATGTGAGGCAGCGTGGTGGAATCAGGCTCTCGTCAATTTTGGGGCCTATAGAGTTATTGGCACCATATTAAAGCCTGTTTACTTGTCTTTATTTGGTGAAAAACATGTTCAGTTATCTTGAATATAAGTCGAGATATTTGCGAAAGAAGGAGGTGGGGGTCACCTGTTTTCAGAGGTAAAATTAGTGAGAAAATGGTCGCCAAAGATTAATTATTTCCCTAGCTTAAGAGTCCGCGGTAACTGAAGATTTACATTTTTTTATGCCTTTAATCAACCCTTTTCAGAAAAATCCACACAGAAACGAGTTCTTTAATTGGCATGAAAGGTGCTGTGCCAAAAAACGAAAATTTTATAAAAATTCACAAACCTGAGGAAAAATGCAAGTTTCTCCATTTCGATTATTTTGACAAGAGCCTGATTCCATCACGCTGCCTCACATATACCTTATAAAATATAACATAACTCCCCTCCCCCTATCTTCCACCCCTAGCAGAAAAAAGTAATCAACAGCCCCCCACCCCCTCCCCCCCAAACAAAACTATAGCAAATTTTAAAAAAAAGCAAACTAAACATATGGTCTATCACCCAGTGGTATCGAGAAAGAAAATACCGAATTTTTACAAATGGGATTGATTGTGCTTACCTGAACTACTTCCCTTAAAAAGGGAAGTGGTTATTTGCCCTGACCTTTTAAAATAACACAGTTTAGGTTATTCAGGAAACGAACTTTTATCCTACCTGTTAGGGCTAACCCGGGCTGAAAGGGATAGAAATTCACAGCGGAAAGACCGCGATACTCAATACAAATTATTGTGCTTCCTCCACAGGAATCAACCTCGGGTCTACTGTAAGTGTGTGCGACGTCGAAAGCACCAAACCACTATACCACAGCCGCTGGTTTGCACTGACTCAATTTTCCCGGAATTGAAGCCTTTGGTGTCGACAGTTTAAATGCTTACAAGATACTGAAGCAAAGCCAACAAAGTGAATGTAGAAAACCTATCAACCCACTTCTCTTACGAATTCTCTTACGAAGAAGACTTTTTACATTTCTTTTTTTTTTTTGCTTTTTCCCCAGTTTTCTTCTGTTTTTTTCTCCTCTTTTTATAATAATAATTTTTGTTTAGAGAGGTGGGCGTGGGGAGGGGGAGCTATTCTTTCTTATATAAGGCACAACTTCCTTTGAAAACTTTTGGTGACAAAAAAGCAAACGACAACTCCAGACGTAAGGTGACATCTTTATTTTCAAGGGAGAAAACAACCTTTTGAAGTAGAAGATTGGATGGGCGTGAACTGAACAAAATGGTCAAGACAACGATAAACACATTTCATGGAATTAGAGCAGGATAACATGAAAGAAAAATTGAACGTGGAGGGAAAAATATCGTCAAAACAACTAACTGAAGTGACAACTTAAGGTGAACGATTCATACATGAACATAATGGATACCATTCGAGATATCTTATTTAAAGAATTAAATTCTGACCCATTTAACAGAGACAGGTGTCGTTACAGTCTTTTTATAGCTCCAACACTATCCCGCAAAAAAGATGCTGATAAAATAAATAAAAATCGGCTATGGACAGGATTGAACAGCTCTGGTCAAAACTTGAACAACGGGTCTAAACTTCTTAAAACGAAGCAAATAAATGTTGTTGTTATCGATCCAGATGCAAATAAATCGACCTATATGTTTTGTTTTCATTTTTAAAATGTTTTATCTTATTGAAATTGTTTGTTGCTTTGTGTGGTTTTGTTTCATTTTGTTTTGTATTTTTGGTTTGATATTTTGGTCTCGAGTTTTTTTTATAATTGGCTTGTTTGGTTTTCTATTTTTACTGTTATTTATTGATTAATAGTGGGAAAGCGTAGTGATAACAATAGAAAAAATTATTCAGTTGAACACACCTAGTAAAATATTAAAAATATTTCTGTTGATATAACTCAATCGGCAAGTAAATATGAGTATCCTTTTCATTTGAAAAGATAGAAAGCAAGGATACAAATTTGTGTGAGAAGTTTTCAAATGTTTTCCCCCCTTAGGTCACCATATTATGTAGAGCTTAAGAAAACAGTATTAGTAGTATGAAATATTATTGCAAGAAGATAGCACATCTAAAATATTTGATCCCAGAGTTTGTCCATGTTTGAATGGCGTGTGTATTGAGCACAAAGTGTTTATTTGCAAAACTTCAAAACAGTTCCCACTATCCAAAGAAGTTCGTTTTGTGTTGAAAGTGACGCTCTGACGGACACAAGTCAGACTTTTCAATAAATAAGACTTCACTTCAAGAAAAGACAGAAGTGCATCCAGAAGAGGGTAATACAAGAAATGAAACAAAATAAGGTTGTTTGAAAGCACATGAGCTATTTTTATGAACAATTTATTTTTTGCTTCCAACTATTGAGAATCTGTGGTAGTAGAAAGACAATTGGACAAAACATAAATGAGAACGGGGGGAAAAACATTCATTTTTTTCAAAATACTTAAAAGTCAAACATCTACTTTTAATGCATCACAAATCATGTCTGAAAAAAATAACTGCTCCATGATAAAACCCAAGTTTCAGTCAAAAACGAACCCCCCCCCCCCCCCACACACACACAAAACAACGCAACAAAAACTCAACACTTAGATCTACGACCCTTAATCTGATTCTCGAATCAAGAGCCCCATTCAAAGAACCCATTTTTTTACCACCAAATCTTTTTTACCACCAAATCTGTCTTCACAGTGATAAAACTTGGAAGACAATATTGTTGACAAACTTACTACTGTTATTATTCCTTTGAATTGTGGAGGGTGGTTCTCTGGATTTTTATTTGTTTTGTTTGTTTTTTTGTAGTTTTTTTTTAAATAACTGGCTTATTATAATCTATAATGCATTATATAATGGAGCATATCAAACGTACATGTATATCTTTTCATGATGAAAATTAAAATTCAAAATACACACAACCAGTTTCAACAGAACATGAGAACAAGTTCAATAGCATGCTTTTCTAATTCGGTTTCAACGTATAGAAACAGAGGCTTTAATAAACACTCTAAGTAAATAAAATCAAACATTCCCTAATTCAGATTTAGAGTGATTTCGATAAAATAGTTGAATAGTGAAAATGTGTTAATAAAACTTTAAAGGATGTTCATTACAACCGTACGTATGTTTTTTCCCCTTTAGGGGCAATACAATGAAAATTTTAACAAGAAATTACTGTCATAATATAATAATATGTCGAGATAATTTTGAGAGATAAAACAACCCGCACGAACTGTCAACAATACGAACAGGGGACTTGTCTTGATTAGCTTTT